CTTCGGATAAATTAAGTCAAATATAAACATGGCTGCAAGTTTTTCAATATGGATTTTGGAGAGCCAATGGAATGAAGGTCACCACAACACAACATATCTGTCATTTCATCGTATTATCGAATGTGTAGTGTACATTGATATTCGGTATTTCTATTTTGGACTTTAGAGGATCAACACGTGTGTTTAATATAGTTCTTAATTCATATTTCATTTTATTTTTTTCTTCAATTTCAATATTTTTGCACAAATTTGTTGCATCGTTTCGTACGAAAAGTTTGAGTACTTTGGAAATTTTCCATGTAGGTATTTCTCCTCTTTGATTTACAGTGAACAAAACCATTGTGGAAAATTGTGGCTGTGTTGTGTTCTTTGGCTTCGAATGAAGTTTTTTTCATGTCCTTTTTTACTGTCTATTTTGAATTTCATTTGATTATTTTTCAAATAGTGCGTTTACCATACGATTTATCGAATTCGTTCGTATGCATTGACTTTTTCGTTCGCTATTGAATAAAATGCCACGATCCAGTTGTTCAAATATAGCCCGACGTACGCGTCATGAGAACATGATATTATCGCAAAGAAGATCGCAAAATGTTGAGGAGCACTTCCAACAAAATGAAGTACGACGTGCAGGATTTTCCATTAATTTTTCAATATTTAATGTAGAGAAGCACACCGGGGTACCGCTAGTTTTTATATATATAAGATGGGAGGTGCCACGCCCTCTTTTCCAATACCGCCCATTTTTCTTCATGAGTATGGAATTATTTGATTTACCTCTATACCAATTCCCAGTACTCTACCACAAATATTTCAACAGATATAAAACATAAAAATTTCAGTTATATGGGAGGTACCACACCCCCTTTCACGAATTCGGGCAAACTTCACATAAACCATTTGCATGATAGCCTGAATATGCCGTATAAATTTGGTTGAATTCGGTGGAGCAGTTCTCAAGTTATAAGCTCACACCAAAAACGTGTACTTATTTTTATACATAAGATACATATGCCACGCCCCCTTTTCCAAATTTGGGCGAGCTCCACATAAAATATCTGCATGATGGCCCGAATATGCTATATAAATTTGGTTGAATTCGGTGAAGCCGTTCTCAAGCTATAAGCTAACTCTCTAATTTTTATATATAAATTAGAGGCGCCACGCCCCCTTTTCCGAATTCAAGCAAACTTCACATAAACCATCTGCATAATAGCCCGAATACGAGGCATAAATTTGGTTGAATTCGGTGAAGCCGTTCTCAAGTTATATGGTCACACCAAAAATTTTAACTTATTTTTATATTTTAGTTAGTATAGATGGGGCCACGCTCCCATTTCCGAATTCGGGAAAACTTCGCATAAACCATCTGCATGATAGATCGAATAAGCCACATAAATTTGGTTGAATTCGGTGAAGCCGTTCTCAAGTTATGAGGTCACACCAAAAACGTGCACTTATTATAAGCTTTTATTTAACTTGGTCATCCCGCGCAAATCGCGGAAATTTCCAATCGATTTTAAACTGACTTCCCGACAAGTTAGAGACTTGAAATTTTCAGCATAGTTCCAATCACGATGACAATGCAATTTAAAATATAAATGAATTCCCCATATGGTCCAGGGGTCTTGCTTCAAAGGCGGTCAAAAAATAGTAAGATTTATGGCTAACAGAGCGTAATTTGCCAAAGAACGTAAAACCACTATAACATTGTTAAAGCTGTCGGCGATAGTGTAGCAAAGCTACTCGTGGCAAATTCTGATATCAACCTAGTCTAGATATGAACCTCGCTGTAAGAATTAGAAGACTCCAGATGTCGCCCCGACAGAAGAAGTTAAATATTGCGCCTAAATATATGCCATGCTACAACGGAAATGGACGACACGCCTTGCAGGTTTGGGTTCGGGGAATCAGTCACCGCTACCTGCGATGTAGTCCTTTGTACTCGAGAGTCTTGCCTTTTTGGCGGAGGGGCTGTGCTATAGTAAAGCACTGAGTTGTGTCTTTTTCGACAACTGGAGCAGGTTTGAGTACTTGGACAATCTTTCAAAGAGGGTGCCTGAGAAAGGCAGTCAAAGCACATGTTGTTTTCTCTTACGAATTTTCTGCGATCTTGAACCGACAATTTACGAAATCTCTGGCAGTTCCACAATGAGTGCGAGGAATCTTTGCACACGGGACATTTATACATCGTACGTTGTTATGTCACATGCGATTGGACCTGCGTCGATGATTTATTATGCGACTGTTGAAAGTGAGAAGGTTTGAAAAAAGGTCTGTTGTGGGGTTGAGGGGTTTTAAATAAACTGGAATTTCGGGGACTGGGTCTTGTTTTGGCTGGGCACCATTGATAAACCCTTTAGACCACCTCATATCGAGTGGTTAGGAACTGGTTCATTTGGGCCCAGTTCGGAAGGTCTTTCCTGGAACTGAGAGATTGCTCCCACAGAACCACTGTGTTCTCAGGAAGTTTTGAGGTGACGAGGTAAATTATTATGGGGTCCCAGCTCTCTGTGGAGACTTGTTGGGTGGCGAGAATTTGGAGACAGTTATTCACTGATGATTGGAGCTTTTGAATATATTCACTGTTCTCCACTTGAATAGCCTTTAAATTCATGAAAATACGTATCTGGTTTTCAACTAATACTCTTTTATTCTCATAGAGAGACCTTCAGGCTTCCCACGCCACATCAAAATTGTCATCGCTCAGTGGAGTTCTTTCGCCATTTGGCCAGCTTTGCCTTGAGTTTTGTACCGGAGATGGTACAAATTCTGGGATTTTGTGAGTTTTGGGTGGTTAATGTATACCGCCGTGTCACGAAAAGACGGCCATTGCTCATAACCCCCATAAAATGTTTCCGTATCGCACGGTGGGACCTTTAAGCCGAAGCTAGATTTTTCTTGGGTTTGAGAAATACTGCGAGTAGGCATGGTATTGCTTGCCTGATTGAGAAGCAGGAGTTGACCACCAATCTGGGCTCTCGTATCCTCATACGTTATGAGGCATGACCTGTATTTATTATACGCGGAGGCTTTGAAATCCTCGGGAAGTTCATGCTCCTTAGTCTCTATTATCATAATCATCAAATCCTACGCATTCTGAACGCAATTCCAAAGATTATCTATATTCTTGTCCTTGATTTTTAATGCAGACTCAGTATTATCTTGGATTTGAGTTGTACTGAATCGGCTACAGTATTCCATTAGAATATCTATCTCCGAGATAAATTTAGGGGCGACTGACTGTTTGGGTTTCTTATTGGACCTTCCACCTGCACGCGTACCGCGTTGAGATTCGATGGAAATGCCTTGTTGCTTCTCATCATCACTCATTTTTGGACTTTTAGATTTATCGTCACTATGAGGTGCGGTAAGTATTAACGAGATAACTTCAAAATGTATCTATGAGACGGAGATTAAAGACAAGATTTCTATTACCGATCTAAATTATCGTTCTTGTGACTGAGCTTAAAGAGAGGGCGAGAGATGTATATTCTTTTTAATAATGTCTGCTAATTTAACGCAGTGGAATTTAATTACTTATTTGTGGATGCCACGATATATATAAAAAGGTGTTTGCACTTTGATATGTGTTACTAATAAACCTCTGGAGATTTTTTTTTTGTTGAACTATTGAGCGATATACGGAGACCGTTTCACTGCACCCACACTGCACTGTATAAATATGTAGGTAACATTTTTAGGAAATGGCGTTAGTAAGAAGTTCAGATTCTTACTTACGGTTTTTAGGGATACTTCTTTTTTGAGGTGTCTGAGTTCCAACAGTGCTGGCTCTTTAAAGGCGAGGAAGGACCATAGTCACACGCGCTGCACGTGTAGTAATTCTCGGGCTGCTGATTGTACAAGGGGCGCTAGACACGGTGGCTGCTGATGTGCTGGATGAGGGCGAAAGCGAAGTGGCGCGGCGGTGGCTTCTGCGGCGGTGGCGACGGATTCAGCGTTTAGCTAGGGCTGCTGCTATGCTCCTGATCTTGCGGTGGTGCGAACCGGTGTGCTTGTCGCGGCGGTAGTTGCGTAGCAGGCCTTGACAGCGACAACGGGGGTGACGATCGTGATGGTGGAGCGGTCCGGTTGGCTCTATAGAACCTTTGAGGGCGTTGCGTGGCTGACACGGGAGCACTAGCGCGATCACTGTGGCAGTGGGGTTAGGTGGGGTGCTTCACTCACGTTTTAAACGAACTTTCGTGTAAGCAGGAACCGAATTTGCTACCGAAACCGATATTAGCTCAAGAGCTACAACACAAACGAACTGGATTCGCGTAAAAAAAATATAATATATAATATAATTTGTTACAATTAGACCTGCCAATGCCCGCTTGCTTCGCAGCACCTAATAAGATCTTTTACGTTGGCCAATACAAAAATAGCGTTTAAAAGCAAAAGCGGTCTGTAAAGTAAACATTTTTCGTTTAAATTGAAACGAATAAAGAGCAGAATCTTCCTCACACATAGGCCAAGATTAGTAGCGCTGTGATACCATATGGAATACTAATCCCTTTCGATGTCATGAGTTTTACCGATGTCCTATTTCGACCTGTGAGATCTCGGCCAAGCGTGCGTAATATTCTTCTATGATCTTGCAACTTCAACATTGGTCCAGTTTTCAGTTATAGGAGGACCAAGAGAACCATGACCCCCTTTCCCCCCATGATGAAAAGTTTTCCCGTACATTGACTAAATGAGTCGTTTTTGACAATTTACCTTAATATTTATGAACTGATTTCTTTGAGTCTTACTGCTGTACTAACGGCCGCCCCGAGCAATTTCGTCAATCGGAGGTAGGTGCAAGATCGCATTAAGGGTGTATGAGGGCGTCAGGCAAAGGTGCGCTTACACAATGTTGCGTTCTTTACATGCACACTTAACCGAATCCTCCATTTAGCCGTATGAAAAGTAAATTCGTCTAAGAAGGATATAGGGCAAAAGCAGACCAAACCCCGTGTGGGTTTCTATATATTTCGGCTGCAGCGCAATTCATTAGGTCTCTTTTCTGCAAAACCACTGCTGTCATGAAATGAATAAGCATTATGAATTTCAATCAGATTTTATAAAATATAGCGGTTTAATTTCTAGGAAACGAATACGACTTTTATAATTAGCTCCACTCCAGCGCCACCAGCGTGTTGTCTAGTAGGCTGTAATAGGACCATATATGCAAGGTATAACCTCCGACAATTTTACTGGTTTTTGAGTTTAGTCCGAACAACGAAAACGGCTATCATTTTATGTATGTATGTACATTAGAGTGGTCGAAAAAAAATTCCAAGACAGGGTTTGGGGCACCTTCCAAAATTTTTCTTTTTGCCGAAAGAGGTGCTGGTACCAAACCTTACGTTTCTATGTATACATTTAGGAGATGCTCATGAAGCACATATTTTACTCTAGAAGTATTGTGTATATATATTAATCAAAGAATTGGTTAAGTAACCTAAGAACATTTCAAATTTAAATTATCTAAACAAATATCACAAGTTTCAGTTGTCATGACCCCTTTTATAAAAGTCACCAATATTTTTGTCAGTTGCGCAGCTATCCGGCAGTGCATTTCAAGGTGATTGAGCACCCTCTATTATTAGCAGTAGAAAACTGAAAGTTAGTATAGATATTACAAATATTAAAAGGAAAAAAACTAACGGGGTGCTCCGTTTTCCAGAATGAAAAATTTTTCCCCATAAAAAAATTGGACCACTTTAATGTATATACAGTGCCGGACAAAAGTATTGGCACAGAGAATTTTTCGCAATATCTGAAAAGTTTTTTATTCTAATTTATTTTCGATAATTTTTTATAAATATATAGTTCGTCCTACACCAAAAAACATAAAAACTAAATCTCTAAATTTTGTGCAAACCTCAGGAAAATTCAATAAAATTGCACACTTATTTGCAACTTTCTATTCAGATTTTTTAGAAAAATTCTAAGTATGCAGTTTTATAGCTCAACTAATTTTAGTATAACAAAGTGCAAGCGTGAAGGTGCTAAAAAATCGCATTGATTTTTGGCACTTTTTTTTCAGTCAGGTTCTTCCGTACAAAGTATGTTCGACAATTATTTTTTGTATGGAGAAAATGAGCAACACCTTCTACTAAAAAAATTTCCAAAAATCAAG